TCTGTTCAACGTCACTACGTTGCGGAACCACGAGCACTGTCTCAAGGGATCGCGCCGCTCAAATACTTGGCGAACTGCAAGGACTAGGAACAGAATAGGGCCTGCACTCAAGCCGGAGAGGGCCGGAGCTAGGTTCATGAGCTCTGGACGCGGAAGTTTGGGAAAAGCCTTTGGAATTAGAATCACGGCTGTGTAAGCTGCTCATATTAAAACCGAAAAAAAAAAAAAAAAAAAAAAAAAAAAAAAAAAAGTCTGAATGCCCCGACAACGCAGGCTTGTGCGCTCGGTGTGCACGCTTGGAAAAATGTTGAACACTTGTGGAATGTACAAGGGTTGAAGAGCTTAAACAACCCCAACCCCCTCCTGGGGTTTTTCAACCCTCGGAAGCTTTGCACAACTTGCCTGGAACAATCCCAGCGCACCTCCCTCAAGCAGCACGCGCTGCAAAACGGACGGCTTCTTCACGATCTCAGCGAGCCAAGGAGGTCAAAGCCCACCAGACACAAAGGCTCGACAGAACAATAAAGACACCCATGCACTATCAACAATAAGCCGAAACCAAATCCTAAATTTCTTAACATATTGCGTTCCAAGATAGCTTACCTTTCAAACATTTTCTGATTTCATGTTCTGCGTCAAGCAGCCGGTAGCCACACAGAGATTCAAACTCGCGTGAGTCCGCGGCCCAACGCACTGGCGGCAACTTCGCGTTGCCGGCGTACCAGTGCACTTCCTCGCCAGTGGCCTTCAAGCGACTGAGCTGGGCGTTTTCAAGTGACACGAATTGAGCGTGGTAAGCGTCAGAGGCCAATTCTATGACATGCTGTGAGTGCCTTGAGTGCCTTGATGACGGGCCGCTAGTCACGTGAATTCGGCTGAGTGGCACCCTGACACACTGGCTTGGGCACGAAGGGCGAGGTCTCCGCCTGCCCAGACAGTGATGCGGCGTCTTGACCGATGCCGCTAGTGGGGACGGGTCAATCGATTGTCCTTCTTTGGTCCTCAGAAGCACCCAAGGGCACCTGCATCTGCAATGATACCAGCGAAATGAGGCCTACCCCGTCCAAACATGGTCCATGTTGGCAAGATCCGTAAGCCGGGCATCAGAAGTCAACAGATCTACTGCCAGCCATCCCCGGCCTTGGGCGGGTCAAAGTCCTCCTCAATGACGATCTGGCAGTGGCGAGTAAGGTGACGGGCGTAGCGCAGCAAATGCCAAGAGTTCGGCAGCAAAATGTCAACAAACATGAGTCTTCGGCACGCCCCTGATGCTGAAGGACCGCCGTGGATATGTGCATCTTGACGATTGTAAGCAGCCCACGTTGGTGTGTCGCGAAATGAGGTCGCGCAGGGCAGAGTCATTGCCTTGGATAAACTCTGTACGAAAGCCTAGAGCATCCTTATGCCCTATGCCTTGGCCCAGCCCACACTCTGCGACATGAAATCCTCGCTTGGTTCAACATCAGTTGACCGGCGGGACCGGTCGGTTGTCCCCAGCACCGGTCCAGGTCCTGAACTAACCCCAGCTGTGTTTTGCCAAGTTTCTGCCCAAGCGTTGCGCCACCTGCCACGGTTCTCCAAAACATGACCTTACGAACCTGTCCAGCAAACCCAAGTTTGGCCAGCATCATGCCACTGCGCCCTAATCAAATCAGCGCAAAGCAATGTCATGAAGTGGCAAGCCTGTTCAGTCGGAACTTGCGGTGTCAAACAGTTCAATCTACCTTGACAAGATCACCTGTGAGCGGGTGCAAGAGTTGCTTGCGTGGACACACTCTTCAAAAGGAGCCCTCATCAAGTCTTCTTCTGGCTAAGATAGTTGTTCTTAGTGGCCCCATGTCCATCCCCTTGCAAAAAATATGAGTACCAATCAAGTGTAGTTCATGAGCTAGTTTGAGTCATAGAACTGCACAATCTTGATCATCCTTGTCATAACCCTGTTGTCGGGAAGCATAAGCTCTCATAAAAACGTCCATGGGCGTTGCGATGGCTTATTGACCACACAGGCGAGCAAGGTAAACGCAGCTGTTCCATGGCTTTGAGAAGCCAACGAAGAGCCTTTGCAATGATCAGACAAACTACACCAAACAAGAAACAAGGCAAAACCCACACCCAGAAATCCAATGCACAAAAACGGATGGGTATGTTTGTTTAGTTCTCCAAGTCGCAGAAAACAAAACTCCACGGGAATTTGTCTTTGTCTTTGCGTCTCTGCCTGCCGCAGCAGCAGCGCCCCGGCGGCGCCGGCGGCCAGAGCCTGCGGCAGCGCCGCCAGCGACACCTGGTGGGTGCTTGGAGCGTCGCCTTTTCCGCGCGGGGTGCGCATGATTTGTGAGGCTGTTTTGCGGGTGTTTCAGGTTGTTTGAGGTGTTTTGAGGGTGTTTTGCGGGTTTGTTGGCCGGTCACCCTGACAAGAACCCTGACTTCGCCAATCAAACGCAAGCAGCCACCACAGCAAAGAGCATCTTGACCAGCACCCAAACAGCATCCTCACTGCATCGCCAAACAAGCATGCTAGCAACTGCCACTGCAACTTGGGTACACCACCAAAACAGCACCGACACCAGCACCCAAGCAGCACTCGGACTAACACCAGCAGCAGCCCTGACCAGCACCGAGCACACCAAGCAGCACCCTGACCAGCACCCACAAGCACCAGACCAGCACGCCAGCAACTGCCACCACCACACTAGAAAGCACCGCACCAAACCGCACCCTGACCAAGCTGCCAAACAAGCACCGCCAGCAACTGCCACCGCACCTTGAGCAAACCTAAGATCACCGTGACCGTCACGAAAAAAGAGCCCTAGGGCCAGCAACAGCAACCTGCCAGACTGGCGTGTTCTTCTCTCTTAACAGGCTGCCCCGGAAGCTTAAGACTAAGAAGCACAACAGCATTAGTCTCGCAGGAATCTGCAGCGTGCAACTACTTGGCCAAGTTGATGCCCTCTGCTGCGCAATCCAGAATGGGGCATTGGGTCACTTGAGGGCGCGCTGAAGCTTCAGCACGCAACGCACGACAAGCGCAGTATGTTTAAAGTTCCCTATGCTCGCGAAAAAGGATCCTAATGCTCAATCCTGCGAAAGACGCGATACGGGCCATTGAAGCGCTGCATGCCAAGTTGCCAATCCAAGACTTATTTTACTTGTACCATTTCAGTGCTGCTTCCGCTGTTAGGGGACTTCAACGTCCCCTCTTTCTAAAATGGACAATCTGCGGGTTGTATAGCGAAGTAGCAGTGATGCTGGTGCTTCTGCCCGTTGTGTGACTCCTGCTTTCGCTGGCAGTATTCCATTTGTCATGTTGTGCGAGGGTGGCCATGTTCAGAGTTCACGAACTTGGTCCAAAAATGCAAAAGCTTACCTTTGAGGGTAGTCAACATCACTTTCATTGCGAGCCCTATCTGAACACGGCCACCCTCTCCGCTGCAGAGTGAAAACAATTCCAGGGAAAACATGGATTCAACACACCACATGACCCAACTGCCAAGCGCACAGCAATAATTCCGTAAATCGCAATGAGGCAAACTAAATCCTGAACTGGACATCTGCATCCTGACCAAGGGGCAAACATTCGATAAACATGTGACTTCCTGTCAACCCTGAACGTCCGTGCCCTCCTCTGCATGAAATTCACCAGCGTCCTGCTGCACGCCTTTCACACAAATACTTGGTACCTTTGCTGAGTCGCACGTTTGGGGTAGGTTGAGGGTCCAAATGCCTGTAAGCCTCGCCCCCCCCCTTCCGCTCAATCAGTGAGGGAACGAAAACCAACAGGGACCGGGCCATTGAAAGCCCAACGCGGCCGCTTTCGTCTGACGCCTCGCGCCTTGGAGGGAGGCCGGCCAAAGTCACTGAGCTGTGGCCTCTTCGGCGCGGGGTGAAGGGCAGGAGCGAAGGAAGTAGACCGTTCGAGCCTTGAAGTCTTGATCCATGCGAAACAGGAGTGACCCCCTACCAAGACTTCTGCGTCTTTGCTGTCGCAAAGCTTTCGATGCCAACGATCGCATGTGGGAAAGGGGCGCCAATTGGAAACAGCCCGTGCTGGCCTCGTGAGCGGCAACCGTGCTGGGGCCGGACGAGGTTGGAGAAATGCCTGCACTCTGACAGAGCAAACCAAGGTGCGACACGGTTGCCTTTCCTGGCTCCGAATCAAAAACCAGAGCCACAGAAACACCACAAAGGTTGTGCAGATTGCCGAACAAACGCATGCTCGGCAAAGTTTCAGGAATCAATTCGGCAATGTCCTTCAGTTGGAGTGGCTCGACATGCCAAACCATGTCAAATCCGCAGGCTGCACGTAAAATTATCACTATCCCGACATAGCAAGATATTTGAGCATGATGCCACGTACTCACACTTCCAATGCAACCGCAGCACGAGTGGAAGGGCACAGCAAAGAAGCAGAAACGCGCCCGGACGGCGCGTCATGGCGTCGGTCAGGTTGGACCAGGAAAAATGTGCTGCGTGCGGAACTAATCATACCTTCCTTCGAGAGTGGTTGCTCCTGCAAAAGCGCCCTAAGAAATTGACGCTGCTGTAGAGTGCTCATCTGACACATTGCTGCGCAGCAGATTTTTTCGCAAGTGTCTTTCCCCGAAGCAAGAGCGATTGCTTCTCAAACGCAAGCAACATTGCCCTGCCGATTGCCTGGGTCATTCTTGGACGTGCAGCTCCTCCCCAATCTTATTTGGTAGCAGTCAAAGCGGCTGAGCCAAAAATTGCAGTTTGCCATTGCCGACAAATGCACAATATGGCGACATGTGGCCGTGGGTCAAAAGCCCGTACCCCCAGTGAACATCCCAATCCCCACTAAAATGGAGTAAAATGGGTGGTGCACCTACCCCAAAATGGGATCCCATTGGTGTTGCCCACGGCCCCGTTCAGCTCGTTGCACATTTTGCGTGACTGCGCCTTTGGCCTGAAATGCACTGCCAATCGCTGAAATCCTCTCACGATGCAAACTCCCAACACCTCGCCCCGATCTTGAGCCACCCTGCGACTTTCCGTTGACGACTCTGCCGCTTGCCGCCTCGGAACTGCCGTTGGACATTCGACCCCGTGCATGCGCCCCGGTGCATCCACACAAGCCTTCGAAACTGCAGTGGTGCAGGGAACCCGCCACAGAAGATATCCAGCTTTCAAACAATATGAAAACCGGCCACCCAAATAAACCTGTAGCATGGGTTCTCACTCAAGACATCTCCTTCCCTAGCGCCGCATCTTCCGTCCGTGCCTCCCTCCGCGGGTTTCTGGCCCCGTCGCGTAGCAGCTCTGGCGCAGAGGGAGGCGCCGGAGATGTTCAGAATGCATGCCATTCTGCTCATCAAGTGGCCAGTCCCAATTCAGGCAACTCTGAGTAAATAATTTTGCCTCAAACGGAACTCGGTTGGCCTTGATTGAAGCATTTCGTATCACAGAAATCATCTCAATCCTTTCTGGTGCGAGTCTGCAGCCTTCCTGCCCATCACCGATGTCGTTTTTTGCGCTTGTCACGACTGTCGCGTTAGGCTGTCAAACCGGAGAACCCCATGGCCCGACCTATTACCCCGTCGGCAACCCTCGACGTCCGGAGTCAACCTTGCCTTCGGCTCGGTCCCCACCTAGACTTTGCCGCAGGAGGGAGACCTGCTGAAAGTGCACTGGGGAGACATTGGCGGGGGAGGCATTTTGGGAGAGGGGAAGGTCCAGAAACCCTGGCTGCACACATTCTCTTGCCAGTGTTGCGGGCACACATCGACTAGCAATTCCTCATGAAATGGAGGAAACCCGTGGCCCCAAAACCCAGCACTCGCAACAACCTCTCCTGTTTGCTATGGCCGCACGGAGATCTCACTGGCCTGCATGTCGCTCAGAGGCCCGCTTTGGAGCAGCAGCTGAGCTGCAGCCTCCGCTCACAGGTTGATGTGATACGCAATAGGAAGACCGCGAGCCAGTCCCGCCTACCGTAAAGCAATCAAAGCTCTTGGAACCGGTGACAATGCCATTTCGGCTTCCTAGAGGTCGCAAGCGCTGCACATGCGCCATGGCGATAACAACAATCGTCATGGTGTTAAGGGCCCAGCTTTTGATTGCAGCTTGGGGTCTAGGTAGCAGTCATGTTCTGCTTGTTGCTGAACGTAATTTATAGCAACTCGGCACGGTTGCTTCGAAATGCTCCACCTCGACGTCACCTTTCGGAGTTTTGTTCCAGGCGAGCCCCAACCAGGCAAAAATGTGTGTGCGTGCGTGCAAAATACAAATGTGAAACCTTTTGGCGGCATTAGTCACACCACAAGTGTCTAACGAGGCTCGACACACATCGCGGTAACTTGGGTCAAACGAAATGGGTACGAACTAATTGAAGATTGAGTGGCACAGGTGACCGCACATTTGATGGGTGAAGCAAACAAGCAGCTGGCACAAGAAGCATTCATTGAACAAGCCGTGAGAAGTGGACAGCCAGCTTAGAAACTCTGCATGGCAGGGCCACAAATTACCGGCATTCCGCTACAATTGGATGCTTCAAAAATTGAAACTTGGAAGCGGATAGTCAGTGTCAAAGAGCTTGGAAGTGGACAGCGACCAGCCAACAGAAGCATTGATCATTGGAAACCAAAAGGCCAAGGGACCTCAAAGGCATCACTCCGAAGCCTCCCAGGCTCTCTCGGCGCAGCGCCTCGGCCCCTGCGACATCCCCGAGCTGCGCGCAGGTGGAAAGGAGCTGCGTGGAGAGCTCCGGCGGAGGCTCGCCTATCGGACGCCACCAAAAACACAAATAAAGCACACGCAAAAGCCAAATGCGCCCAAACACCGCGGCGAAAAATGTGCTGTTTGTTTTTATGTTTTGTGCTCTTTTTTGTGGTCGCCCTAGACACGCCGGAAATTGCATTTTGCCTCTACTTGCCGCGTTCCGCGGGATGGGTGCTGAGGTGGATGTGGTGAGCAGGGGGGGGGGGCGGTGCGGGGCGTCGGCGGAGGGGGGGCGGGAGGGGGTCGCAGGCAGGGGGTGGGTGCGTGCGGGGGCGCACGCAGGAAAGCATTAAAAACGCACCAGCACAAAACACCACACAAACCAACAACAAAAGCATGCAAAACGCAAACAATCAAGACAATGAAACAAAAGCACTGTGTCAGAGTGAGCTATTCGTTGGATCACTAGGCGGAATGGACGGCGGCCGGCCAACTGACACTCAAAATGTGTGCTCCTCCCGAATGACCATTTTGAAGGCAAACCCTTTTGACGACTGTTGCTGGGCAGGGGAGAACCCCAAGTATCGTCCAAAGAGATGCACTAGGAACGCCGAAAACTGCGACGGTCCTTGATTGACACTGATCTCAGCTGATTGAACCAGGCAACAAGATCGTGTGAGACAGAAAGAGAGAGAGAGAGAGACAAACAGAGAGAGAGAGAGAGAGACAGAGAGAAAGAGAGAGAGAGAGAGAAAGAGAGAGAGAGAGAGTGAAAGACTGTGTGTGTGTGTGCACCAGCCAAACTCCTGTACTCGCACACGAATGCCCACAGTGGGCTGTCAAGTCTGCGACATCTGACAGCACGTGTTTGTATTTGTTTTGTGATTCAAAAGCCATCGACCAACGATGACAGAAACAAAACTCACTAGCTGTTAACAAGTGCTGCCAGCACAAGAGATCTGCTCCCATGACTAGAGGGAAAAATGCGTTGCACTGGACTCAACTTGGCAAAGAGCGGAGTGCTAATCAGGATCAAAACAATACACAATGGCACAGCATGCTTGAAAAACCCGGCGGCTGCACAGTTCACGGCGCAAATGTGCTCCAAAACCTCAGACTGCGATTGATCAAAGGCCAAACTCGTGGAAGCGGGGCATGGGGCGGCGGGGCATGCTGCTTGTGGCTTGGCGCTCACACGCCTTGTCAGGGCGCCCTCCTATAGACAGAAAACTGTGAGGGGTGCCTCTCCCCCGCCCCCCCCCCCCGTCAATGCAGGCAAGGCCCACGTTAGGTGCGCAATCCCAAAGGCATAAATATGTGCAACATGCTTAGCCATGTCTCTCTTGCCGGCTGAGCGAAGGTTGATCCATCTGGTAAACATACACACAAACCGTCAGTGATTTAGGCCCATGCCTCAAAAGCAAAGAGCAAGCGTCACAACCCGAGCAGATCGATGATATTCTTTCAAGTGCTTCATGTGAGCTGGACCAATTGAAGCTACAGCTGTTCCCACTTGGCAAATAAAACATCTCAATCCAACTCCTCCAAAATCAGAGCAGCATGAGCAGGTTGATGTGTGAGCTCTGCCCAAGCACCACACTCCAGGCACCCCGGCTGCCTTGGCCCTGCCCAGCTCGCCCCGCTCCATCAGCTGGTTGGCAATCTGCGAGGGGTCTGTCTATATGCACTGACGCATATCCATACATTCATGACTCATTAGCATGTGATACAGCAAAACTCAGAGGGTGTATTCCTACGCGCTCTGCCGCCGAATTCCTTTCCACAATGTGTTGCCCTTCGGACTGACCATTTTCTCATCGCACAAAGAGCATTCTCAACAAAGCGGGCCCTTTGCCAAACACCACATGCGTTAAACGCTGTGCAAAGGGGAACCAGGTCTAGTAAAAGCTTGTTATCTGTCTGCGTGTGTGTGTGTGTGTGTGTGGCTTCTTCATACTTCCACTAGTGTCTAGAGCTCATTTGGCTTGGGCAAATCTGTCCCAATCAGGCTCTTTCCAAAACCGCATTGCGCATACTTTGCAAGTTATTGAAAGCCTTTGCAAACTATTGAAAGGGCAACGCCATGTCTCATGCATCGCTGCAGCTGCGTGAGTCAAAACCAGCCCCAGCGTCTAGTGAGACAGCATAACAGCAATAACTGTATGAAGTCCGCAGCCAATGTCGGTCCAATCCTTGCTCAATGTCCGAACCCGATGCGGACAAATCCCGCACTCAACCACCACCATCCTCCGAGGCCGCCTGCTGAGTGCGGACAGGTTCAGGGTCAACCATGTGCAACACCTGCCGCTCTGCCACTTCCAGGTCGCCTGACAGCGCAGGACTGCTGATTCTGCTCGGTGACAAGTCTGGGCGCAAACATCACAATGTCAGGGCGCGATTAGTAACCCCCCCCCCCAGATTAAAAATGTCCCCTTTTCCCTCCCAAATTCCCACCAATCCTAAAGTAAAGGGCCAAGCAGCCCGGAGGCCCAAAACAAAACCTGCCAGAAAGGGGGAGGTCCTTTTTGCCTAGTATTTGCTTAGCCTGACCGGGGGCAACCATGATTGACAGTCAATCTGACTTCTCTGCCATGCCACCCACAAGTTCCTGCGGCTGCCTGATCGGAAGGCGCTGTCGATGACGGACAGGCGCAGCTCATCCAAGTGACCGGAGCTGGCGATGCGGCGGCTCTTCGAAACGGATCCGACGGAGTGCTCCGCACATAGTCCTTTTAGGGGCAATGGGTTTCCCTGTTTGATTAACCCACCAGGTAAACCAGGAATCGCCATCTACTGTTCTACCAAAACAACCAAAAAGGACACCCATGGGCCTGCAAAACCTTCCCCCCCTTCAGCCCACCTGGGCGCGTAGGTCTCCAGAAGGTTCTCTGCCCGCAGGGAGTTGCCCACCTGCGATTCCCACGCCGATGCGGCAGAAAGGCCATGGATCGCCACGGGCCAAATGGGCAAGAAGTGGTGAATGACTTTATCATTCCAAATACTCATGCATCCATTCCTTTTTTACAGCCATCGTATCGCACGACCAGCCAACTTTGTTGAGTATGGTTCGTACAATGGCTCTCCTTCAAAGGCCTTTTGCCAGTGAGACACTCCGGAAACGAAAAGCTTCCCCCATTAGGACATCATCCGATGGTCATGTGAGAGTAAAGAGGCTGGTGTGACTGGGACGTTGGATGGAAGCTTTGAGAGGATTTAATAAACATTGTTCGAGATCAAACCACAACATATGTTGGAAGATCAAAACACATTCACGAAAACTAGTGGTACTATTGGTCATTGGCGTGCCGCAAGACAGGCGAAACTTGCCACCCGACAAATCATAAACAAATCAAACACACCTCGTGAATTCCTTAGCGGGTGCAGCGCGAGCGCACAGTACGTTCGAGCTTTGCATGTGCAGGTTTTGGTGAAAATGCCTGTCGAAATTCATGTCGGGTGCACTTTCAAAAGTGTCGAAGGATGTGGCAAGCGCAGCACAGAGTGAGCGCAGATTATGTTGCGGATTTAGAATACGGAGCATTGCAAGAGGTGCGCAGCAAACGGAAGTGCCTGGGCGGCTCACCTCGTGTAAGTTTGGCGACAACTTGTCTCTCTGGTGTGTGTGCTTGTTTTGGAATGGGTTATACGCGAAGTGTGCGGTCCTATGCAGAAAACCGCACAAACAGAATGCAGCGCACACCCCAAACAAAACACCTCCAATAATATACCAAGGCGTTCTTGAAACATTTTCCAGGCAAACAAAAACGATCCAGCGCACAAGCAAACGCGACCCAGCAACACTCTCTCAGCGCGTTGAAAATGGGGGGGCCCGTCGACACAACGCGAATCCACACACGGCGCAGTTACAAACACCATCCTGGCAATGATTAAGCGAATCAGGCGCGCAAGCATGTGAAACCGGTCCTTGCCTGTCTGCCTCTCCGCCTCTCTGCCCCTCTTACTCTCTGTCGTGCTTCCTCTCTGCCTCTCTTCCTCTCTTCCCTTGCCTTCCCTTCCATTGCATTGCATTCCCTTTCGTCTCCACAGGAGTGGAAGTATGTCTTTCGGTCGACCACCAATAAGTTCCCTTTGATGGCCTATTCTGCCATCAGCATCCAAGCCAGCCAAAGCCAGAGCCGGTCTTGCGCAGCCACGCCTCTGCATGAAGGCCAATGACCTGAGCGGCGGCACTACTCTCGGTGAGCTGCGCAAGTGCCAAGTTCTAGTCCACGCCATGGTGAGCCTTGTCCCTGATTGACCAACGAGTTTTTTGAGGCTTAAGTTCCGGAGGCAATTCTTGGACGAAAGAATTCGCTGCACGAATTGCCATGTGCCACATTGGATTCAGCGGCAAGAAATGAATACTTGGAGATCCTTTGCCCCACAACCAGACCAGCTTGCTAAGGAGGCGCACACCCAGGAAAACAAAAGCCCCCCGACTGAACAAAGATACCCCTCTAAGGCATGTGTCCTCGTTGCGTTAGCTTGTTTAGAAATAGATGGCGCTGCTTTAGATTCCATTTACCAGGGCCATCTATTTGTCCAAAAGGTCGCTCTAAGGATTCATCAAACATTGACAGTTGGCCGAGACCCTGCCTCCTGAAGAAGCGCTTCATCGATGTGATGGCCGGTGGCTTTCATCATGGACAGCACGTCCTCCGCCTGCGGCATGGCCGGGCTGCCCTTAGGGCCCAAACTGGCGAACATCAATTCCTTTGCTCCAGTCGCAACCTCAACAAGGACCCGCACAATTGAAATGCCTTGGGAGGAAGATCAGTCGCTGAGTACAAATCTAAGCAATGCTCCAAAAGACAAGTGGTGGCAAATGCATTCTGAAGACAAACAGGAAGCATAGATCTGCGCTGGTGGCTTCTCAACGCCCACCTTGTCGGGGTTGCCGCTGCGCACGAATCCAATGATCACCGGGTGGTAACAGGAGTCCGGCAAGCGATACCTCCCAGTTGGCAATGTGCGTTGCCAGCGTTTTTCCCCTCTGCTGCCCATGTCCCTCCTGTCCCTCCTGTCCCTCCTGTCCCTCCTGTCCCTCCGGATCTGTTGCTCTTGTCCTGTCCGTCTGTCGCCCTAATCCTTCCGTGTGTCATCACAAAAGTTGCCAAGGTCATTCATTCTTGAAACTTGCCACTACTCTTTTGGCTGTCAGAGTTGCATCTCAACATCAAGTCACTCCACACACCAAGGAACCAAAACTTACATAATACCAACATGTTTGCAATTTAGGGACCTATACGTTGCCACTCCATGTATGCAATTTTGACAGCTGTTCCCACGGGTTACCGAGGTACCGCAGGTGTGCAAGCTCATGGGTTAGCAACACGTGCACGGCGATGCAACCTGTGGGGCACTCTGTCTCCTGCGATCGCCGAAGCCACTCCTGAAGGATCAGGAAGCGAAAGGCTGCCCAGAATCCAGGGAGGCTTTTGAAACACAGATGTTCCATCCCAGATTCTGCGAGTTCATGGGAGTCGGTGAAAAGAGAATATAGAGATAGTCCACCCTGTCATCGGGTATAAAGTGGTGGCTCATCCAGAAAACATCGAAGTGCACAGACCCCTTTTGAGACACTACTTTCTTGTGGAAAGGTCTGTGTATCTACCATGTTTGCCGGTGTTAGAGCAAATGATTCTGACAGCTCATGTCCCTTTCAGATGGCTTCCGTCCTCAGCTTTCATCGCATCGACTTCTGCATACCTGAGGACGAGGGTCGATTCAACCATTGAAAATGCACGCCTCACCTCGATACCTCGAAAAGTCCGGCATCCATCTGCAAAGACAGCCACGCGAGTCCAGGCAGCACCCGTAACATCACTCAGTGCTGGTGCAGAAAGCATCCCCCATTGCCGCAATGCCCATTGCAAGAAGCGGAAGACGCTCGCTGTTCTTTGTGTTGAAGCCTCATCAATCAAATTTCACAGCAACTGCGGCTTTTGGACCAGACTATCTACAGGCTCTGCTTTGCAGGTGTTCAGCTGTGCCACTTTCAAAACAGAAAACCAGCCAATGCTTCTCATCTCTAGGCAAATTGGGCGCTCATTCGCTGCCAAGCAAGAGTCAAGCATCCAGGGCTTCCCGCTTGGCAGGCAAGATTCATATGTTAACAACTGCTGTTGAGTGGAATCATGTCGTTCTGTTCATGTTGAGCAGTCTCTCGCATTATGCAGCAGCATGTTCGATGTTGCACAGGTCCCAAATTTTGCCGTTTCTGATGCCCCAGCCTCTCTATCTCTCTCTCTCTCTCTGCTCGGGGCCAGGCAAACGCACCACAGCCTCGAAGGCCGCCTGCTGAGGCGTCCAGCCTGGGAAGTAACCCACCCAGCGCAGTCACCAGATGCTCACCCCCGACGCACATGGCGCAGAGGGGCCTTGAGTACATGAAGATCCTGCAAAATGCTTTGAACAACAAACCCCAAAGGTCTCAAGCCGAATCAAGTCGAACACATGAGCAGCGTCTGCGTTGGAAGAAGTGGCCCCAGCCCAGCACTGAGGCCTTCGCCAGATTGGCCAGCGTTCAGCAGCCATTCCTCTACCTGCAACAGCGATGTGCGCCATGACTCTCTTTGCCAGACTGTCCCAAGCCTGGGCATTCTTAAAAAGAAGGAAAGGGCTGCATCTGCTGCTTCAAGAGATATGCACAAAAGCCCGTGTTCCCAAGTCCAACCTGCACGTGGTACGTATCTGGCCTTGATGGGATTGCGCTGCTTGGCAAAGATGCCGATCACCTTGTCAAACACCTGCAAAGTTGCTGCTGTCGGGTGCTCAGGATGCTGTCGGAGTCAGAACTGGCACCGGCTCAGACTTGAGATGGACAACGCGCGCTTTTCGGGAGAGCTGAGAGGCTGGAAGCCCCTTGAAACGAGCAACCCAAACCCCCGCCTCCCTGGGCGGCCGAATGCGGAGGTGCATCATCTGGGTCATGGTGTCCTCCACCTGAGACACGCGGACTCTGAATCGGCTTCACTGCATGTCACAAGCCAGCCTGCCAGAGACTGAACAGCATCAACAGAAAGGTCCAAAACCAACATGCATAGCCATCAACAACCAGCCAGGAACAGTGCCTTGGGTGTTCTTGGGCAGTGTTTCAACTGGTAACGGTGACATGGCGACTCCAAACAGCCTGAACTCCATATTAGGCCCTTCCCGTCTAGCTTGCAGTTGGGCACTCTGAGTAAAGCCAACAAAACCGACTGCCAGTGCAGTGCCACTGGGCCACGCCGCCGGTAAACCTCAACTCTTCGATTGCCGACAACTCAGCCTTGACGGCAGCGCCCTGCTTGCAGCCCGCGCTGATCACAGCCACAAAGCTCTCCTAGGGCTCTGGACACACCCGAGGCGATCGAGGGCATGCATGTGTCGTCAAATGCGGTGTAAAGCCAACAGTCGCGGATAGATCCAAGAGGGCTCTATGTAAAAGGCTCCTCTCGGGGAACAACGCCGGCTTGAAGAGCACGCCAAAGCCACTCCTGCACAGTCTCTGTCGCCAATCTCAGCGACCCCGTCATACACTGAGGTCTGAAAGCCCTTGACAAAATCAGAGCACCAAAACGTTCACGATGGCTTTGAATCCAGCTCATGTTCATAGACTGCAACTGCACAAGTCAGCCACGTCATGGTGTCCAGCTGAATGTTTTGGAACCAAAACAGAACTTCAAGAACTTCACACGTGTATTCCTACCTGCTTATCTTCCGCACCCCGTCCTCTGCCTTCGCTGGTTGCCTTGTTCGGTCGTAGGAGAGAATCAGCGGATCGTAAGCCTGGAAGTTCCCAAACGAAATGGCGGATGTTGCCAAAAGTCCTTCCTCTGAAAAGTCAGGCGTTTCCCGGCAAAACAAGCAAAGCAAGCACGAGCATGCACCAACCACTGCCTCTGCTGTTTTTGGCAAACCACGGGTGTCCGGGTTCCCGCCTCGGGCACGGGACCCAGATGCAGCGCCTGGCGCAAGAGCTCCTCAGCCTCAGCGCCGAGCATGCCCGGAAAGCTGCTCTGCTCGGCTTGTTATTTCTTTGAAGTCAGGTGGGAAAAGCTGAGCATTCTTGCAGCCCAGCTATTTTTGCGTGGGAAAGCTGCTCCTCGAATTCGACGGGGGGGGGGGGGGGGGCACGGAAGGATCTGGGCGGGGTCGCCTGTGTCCTTTCAGCCGGAAATGGAGGAGGTCGACCGAAAGGTAAGTCTCAGGCCCCATAGCGCCCCAAACTGTAGCGCTACAACTCACCATGGTTCGCTCACATCGGTACTTAGAGAAGAATGTCTTACATCTCCGCGGTTCGACGCCAGTTCTCAACCAGCCCGGTCAACCCAGGGACCAGGCTGGCGCTGGCTCGTCCGCGTTGGCGCTCTCCACTATGGCCTGCACCAAGTCCTGTGAGACTGCCGCCGGCGTTGGACACACGCCGGCTAAGCCACATGGGCGCGTTGTTGTGAGGACCCTTTTTGGGGGAACCAAAGGGATAACCACTATTTTAGGGTCCCCCTATTTTGACAAATCCCCATGTATATATATATATATATATTATACATGTATGGCTGTGCCTCTGCGCCTCTGTTCTGAGATTTTTGAATTTTGGTTAGGGAAACGAAAGGAAAACATTAAGAGACAGCCCATGTTGTCATAGAAGGACTCCAGAATGCCAAACGAACAAGCATGATGAATCAGCATGCCGTTTGCAAGTGACAATAAACGTATTGCTCATGTGCAGCTGTGTGCAAAAACTGAGGTTCCTTTTTGGGGGTGGGCGGTTGAGCAAACATTGAAAGCAACCATTGGAACCAACAACCATTTGGAGGTTGAGCAAATGTTGAGACAGAGCCAACCTGCACATCGATTTGGCCACATACATTATGTTCTGTTGCACGAGTTCACTGTACGAAGCTGGTCATGGACGCTTGGAGCAGCTGTCTGTCCGTCTGTCCTCTGCTTGTCTCGCTCTATCTGTCTGACTGTCTGTGTGTCTGACTGTCCGTCTCTGTCTCTGTCTCGGCCTCTGTCAGCCGAAGCGATCCCCACAAACAATGCTCGGCTGATGAAATCTCGCTCATGGCCTCCAAGCGCGGCTCAAGCAAGGTGCCTGCAGGACAGCATAGGCTGGCGATGCATGGGTTCGAGCCTGTTCGACCCCGCTCACATCGTGGTTGCACAATGTCCGTAATTATTCTCCTGAAATCCAGAGACCATGTTGCGAGGGGGTAAATACAGCAATAACTGGCAAAGGCCTGCGATTGGTGGAAAGATTGCGGCCAAAACAGGAAGAAGTTTGCTCCGGATGTTCCTTTCGTCACATTGTGGCCATTTTGGTGTCAGTATCCTTCTGACAGTTGCGGCGGCATGAACGTTCGCCGAAAGTCACAGCCAGCCGACATGCCAAACTACCGAAAAGCCAAAATTATCTCACACTGACAGACCAGCTCCGGCGCATCTGTATCTGACCGAATGCCCATGGGAAAACTCCCACATCTGAAGAAAATGTGGGATTCTGGTTGCATGTCACATCCCTGTTCAGAACAAGCTGTTCCTGAGCCCCCGCACCCACTACATCATTTCCCCCAAGTGCGCAGTTGAATTTGAAGAGGGTGTGTTCGGAGGTGCGGGGTTGGAGGGTCTCTCCAAATGCCAGAACCGAGCTCAAGTTGCCAGCGCCACCGCTCCCACTTCCGACTTCCGGCGCCTTGCACTTCCGGCGGAGCGTGCTCCTGGCCTCGGCCAATCATTAGCGTTCAACTTTTGTGCCGGTCACCTGCGACCTTGAAAGAAAGAGAACTCGAGAAACTGCACTCGAGCAGCTTCTCACCTGTTGCGGCCTGTTGCGCTTTTGAGTTTCAGTGGATCTCGAGCATGAACCTGAACTGCCAACTCCGGGGCTCGAGCTTGGCTCTGCCTGGCGAAAGGGGCCGCAAGCGATCGAAACTCGATGGCATGCAATGAGATTCCGCCTTTCTCCTTGAGAAATGGCAGTTCCCTTTTACAGAAACCGTCATATATGATGCCTGTCTGAATCCCCTGTCAAAGGGTTCGTCAAAGAAATGTTGCCCTGCTTTCCTGCAAATCCTACTAGATCCCGATTATCCGTATAATTGCACCAAGCGACCGGGTGTTTCAGTCATGACTCGGAGCGAAATGCTTCAAATGTCTGCGGCCGCGGCTCAAGCTGAAGCACGGTCATAGCGACTCAACCGTCTGATTCAACTCGAGAGTTGGTTCAGCCCGTGCCTTCATTCTTGCAGCCCCGTGTTTTAGGTTGCCATTGGCATAGTCGGGCTAGTCTCGCTGTAGCGGGGTCAGCCAAAAACGGATACATTGCTTCACAGCCATTGTAGGTCATGCAAGGAGAAGACATGTGCCTTTGCTACAGAAGAAAGCAAAAAATACGAACGCTGAAATCGGCATAGCGAGTTGCTCACTCCTCGAGCAATGCTTCTCATAAAGACTCTACAACCATCAGACGGAACTTCATGTCGCATCGTTAGGGCACAAAGCAGGCAAGGCTCCTTTCAAAGGGAAAGCCCAAAGGACAGTCCGTCTCAGCAGGGGTCAGTGACTTGTCGTACAGTCATTGCCAGATGTTGGGAGGGGATCAGATTTTCCCAATCTGGCCTGCACCTGTGGCTCCTCCGCTATCGCCAGGGCCTAACAGAGGCGCAAACGCACCCCCTTGGAGCAAGTAACGGGAACCAGGATGAAAAGTTGCCATTCCTCTCCGCACTCGGGAACACGTGCAAATCCCAGGAAGTGAGAACCTGCATGACGTGGCACTGGTGCGTCTGCCTGGTCCTTCAGGCCTTGCCGATACAGCAGGTAGTAGCCTGGAGCTGGGTTGATGATCAGGTTGCCTCTTAATTCGAACCTGCAAATATCCAATGCGTGCAACGCAGGCTAGCGCATGTGTCGTCCTACAGTCTGTTTTTGGGGTGCGAATGCAGGGGCACCCAAGGCATTCTTTCAGTGGCAAAGCCCTTAGGCAATTCCTGCCAAGATCAACGGGTATCTGCGACTGGCCGGCAGGCCTCTGCTTGAAGCAGAGTACACGACGCAAAAATCATCGTTGCACTTGAAGGTGCCTGGCCGAGAAGTTTGAGTGAAGCGCCTCACTCTGCTGCAGGAGTGCTCAAGGATGCAAATGAAGGTAGGCTCCCCCAATTCTTTGGTGCAATGAGATGGCTTCGAAGCGAGTGGGCAAGAAAGCTGAGGGTTTTCCAAACGAATGACAACCAGCAACAACTGATTGCGACAAACGTCTTGCGACATTTCTTTGGCAAGCTGTCCGTGAATCGTTGCCCTTCCTCGTGATTGAGCGCGCGTAAACATGTTTGTTCTCCTCAAACCCACGGCCTGCTGGACCAAGTAGCTGACTTTGATATGATGTTTGCAATTGCCACGAACAACGTAGCTTCACGGGATGGCAAGGATAATGCATCATTTTGGCCTCTTGCCTACGCTCACATATTGCTCAGATCTGCGGGATTCCAGCATTGGCCCAGTGGGCCCCCTGCGGTGTCAAGAATGCTCGCAGCCTCGGTTCAAGCCCTCCACGGCGGAAAACGCCGAGATAATCGTGTCCTTGTCAAGAATGTGGACCTCGCAGGTCTATGCCAACGGCAAATTGCTGGTTTCCGCAAACGGATAGCCACATCACGCTCTTTCGTGTCAAGGAAGGGATGTGGAAACAATGATCATCTTCATCATGCAGCAGACTTCAGCGAATGGTCCCTTCCCTTCCCTGTAAACCCTTGCCCTTCTCTTCCCTGTCGACCCTTCCTGCCTGCCCTGCAAGCCGATCCACATCCTCGCCCAGCCAAATTGCCTCAAGTGTGGGGTCAATCACCCTCCAGGCCTCCAAATAAGCAATAGCATGCGGTGCTCTTTTTAGTGCTTGCACCACCCCGCAGCCCTCGCAGAACCTCGTGGAACTCTGGTGGAACCCTGGTGGAACCCTGGTGGAACCCTGGTGGAACCCTGGTGGAACCCTGGTGGAACCCTGGTGGAACCCTGGTGGAACCCTGGTGGAACCCTCGTGGAGCCCTCGTGGAACCTTACCTCAGGGCCGCCCCGGACCACCCCGGAGCCTATCTGGGCGGAGACCCCAAAGCTTTCAGCTGTTGGGGAAAAAACTTGATCCACAAACCCACCAAAAACTATTCCAGTGTAGCAAATGCAGTGGGAGATGCTGACAGACCTCTCAACCCATAAACTTCCAGGGTCAAGAAATTCTGTGGCCCGTCTCTCAATCTGCAGCTGGGGGATGGCATGTGCGCCACCTTTGTTGCGCTTGTTGAGAGTCTGACATGCCCATTGCACGCTGCAAGTACTGCACATTTCGCTGATGATGGCGCTCAAACAGTTGCTTCCAACGTCATCGTCCATGATGTTCCCGCACATCCCAGTTGCTTCCAAAATGAGCCCGGTAATGGCACGAGTTCTGAGTGGTAGCTTGGAAGCTTCACATTCCGTCGGTGTGGGTGTGCGAATCAGCAACATGAAGACCTTGCATCTCAGTTTCCCCTGTCCTGCCTGGTCCACAGCCCAAGGTGCCTGCCGCTGCACCTGCGATCAGCCCAATGCACTCACCCAGAGGATGGAACTAGCATGTCCTGGCATCTGACGTCTTTGCAAATGGTCCACATGTATTTCTGCTGAGGACATGGATGATAGAAATACGGATCATGGACTCACGGCTCCGGGTGCTGTGTCAACATCCCGCCTGCTCTGGCGTTGGGATTCGGATCATTGGCCTTGGCAGGAAACACCTTAACTGGAATGAGTGATCCTGATGGTTGAGTGCTAGTGATCCTTGGTTTCATATTCTGGTATCGGTCAAGTTTCACTCACGTAGGTATGCCCCAGAGAAATGCCTGCAGGTTCACACTGGGAGAAAGCAGGCCAAGGGCCACAACTCCACGCAAAAGGACACTTACGCTGGGCAGTCTTCAAGACTCCTTGAAGGGTCCTGCGAAACTAAACGTCAATCTGGGCAGCCCAACTTCTCGGCATACGATGCCTCCTCAAACCACAAGCTTGCTGAGTAGAATTGCAAGGCATTGTGGATGCCATAGGCTAGTCTGACGTGGCACATTCACCGAACATGGAAGTTGATCCAAGCAAACATTGTGCCCTTGCCAACGACGTGAGTCAAGGGCAACGGCAATGGCTCGCGCTGCAGAAGCCAAAATGCCAACATTACTGGAGGCAGCGGGCTGACTCAATCCCGCCGGCTGAAACCCGTCAAGCCAGGTTTGTGGACATGCATTGCATATTGCCCCTGTTGGTGAAAGCCGCTTGACAAACGGTTTGACAAAATAAAAGTCATAGGCCATTGGGCCAAGATTCCACGAAAACGGCCCTCCTATCTGCAAATTGAAACAGCCATCCCGGTCCTGCGCTACCTCCCAGGCACCTGCAAGATGGGGTCTCTGCACTGTGTTGCTGTTTATTTTGCTTCTGATGTTGCTATTGCTGTTGCTGCTGTCCCTCCTTTTTTACATCTCCCCAATTTGTCGGGGGTGCCTGACGCCTTCACATCGGGCCTGTCAAAGTACAACCTGCCAACCACCTTCAAACTACCGTCTCAAACAATCAAGTAAGACTAAATCTCTGCGTGACAGCCTTCCTCTGAGCTTACCCGACAAACACGAGCAGTGAGGAACGATGCTTCTGACCCGCGCGCTTAGCACTTGTGTCATGAGAACATGCATCATCGGTGCAATCAGCATGATGGCTCCCCCCATTTCTGGTGAAACGGATCTCCAAAAAGCCGCGCCGTGCCGCAAGCCACCCTGTTCCGTGAGGCATGTAACATGCTACAGAAACCTTCTTCCTCATAGTCTGCCACTTGGGGTCAATGCAGCTGACTGCGCAGCAACAAAAAATGAATAGCACTAACACGTACGCAACTCGGGAGCCAATCTGAGGAATGGCGTGCGAATCTATGACCGTTTGGGAACTGGCCTATATGCATATATATATATATATGTACATGTGTGTGTAAACTCAAAGGGTAGGACTTAGGACCCAAGCTTGTGCCAACCAATGCTTCAAACATCTTTGACCCACCACTGGTAACACGCCGCACACGCACACACAAATGCACATCCATACGGAAAGACACATACACCAATACAACTACATAAATCCGCCGACTGCAGACAGCGTGTTGGACATAAGAAATGATCCTTACTTCTTTACCTGTTACCCCTCCCCCGGGGGCACGTACCACGCAGTGATTCCCAGACGTTCCCTTTTTTCGTAGATTAGAGCACAGTTGGGATGTTGCTTTTGCATACTCAGCAACATTGACAGCATCACGAGCATCACTGGCATTATCTGGATTACATCAGGGAAAAAAGGGGGTTATTCGTGTCCAAGATGCTCAGCCATTACAATGTTTAGATATTAACGTGCTAAAATGTTCATGGCTTAACACCACAAATATTAATGGCTGAACACCTGAAAGTCCTAATGGCTTATACTCTGTAAATCTGAGCGGGCTTGCAAACCTTAGCGGATTGACGTGTTAACAACTCAATGGCTTAAAGTCTGAAAATAGTCATGGCTTGCAACATTGAAATATGAATATCCTAAGATGTTCAGCCAATAAGATTTAACCACTTTAAGCCACTAAGATTCTAGATTTTCAGCCAGTACATGTTTTAGATTCAACGCCAGTAAGATGTTGTGCCATGAAGATTCTAAGATAAGGAATTGAAACCATTGAGATGTTAAGACTTTAAGCCACGAAGATTTGACTCGATAAACCACTAAGAATTCTAAGATAACTCCATTAACATGATACGATTGGAAGCCATTAAGCTTTCAAGATTGTAAGCCATTACTGTTTTCAGACTTGAAGCCATTAAGAACAAGTTAAGCCACTAAGATCTTCAGATTGTAAGCCGCTCATATTTACAAGAAGACATTCCAAAGAGAAAGGGAAAAATCGAAGGGACAACTCCAAACTAAAAAAAAAAAACATGGGGAAGGATCTAATGGAAGAGAACTCGAAAAGGAAAAGTTCAATAGGACAGTTCCAACGGGAGAAATACCATGGGATACGTCCAATGCGAAAATTCCGATAACTCGAAAGGGAAAAATCCACTGAGGAAATTCCAAAGAGAAAACGTCCCAACGGGAAAAGTTCCAAATGGGCTTTGGTTTCAATGGGAGAAGTCCAATGTGAAATGTCCGGGATAAATTATGGAGTGTGCCAATGGGACAGTTCCAAATTCACGGAAAAGTCGAATGGGAGAACTCCAAAGGGACAAATTCCAAATGGGAAACTTCAAATGGGGCTTTGAGTGGGGGAAATTCCAATTGGAAACTTCCAATGGAAAATTCCAAAGGGACAACTCCATGGGGGAATTCTATTGGGAGAATTCCAACGGGAAAAATCTCACAGGAAACATGCCTAAGGGAGAATTGCAATGGGAAAGTACCAAAGGGAAAACCTAAAATATCCAAAGGGAGAATTCCAAAGGGAGAATTCCAAAGGGAGAATTCCAAAGGGAGAATTCCAAAGGTCCAAAGGGAGAATTCCAAAGGGAGAATTCCAAAGGGAGAATTCCAAAGGTCCAAAGGGGGAATTCCAAAGGGAGAATTCCAAAGATTAAAAAAAAAAAAAAAAAACTCAAAGGGACAATTTTTAGGGAGAATTCTAATGGGAGAATTCCAATGGGAGAATTCCAAGGCCAATTCCAAGGCCAATTCCAAGGGGGCAATTCCAAAGGCAAAATTCCAATGGGAAAATTCCAAAGGAAAAGATAATTCCAAAGTGAAAATACGACACATATAAGGAAGCAGGCCTGTAATGTTGGCGTCTGAGCCGGAGGCGTTGAAGTATACACATTGCGCACAAGCTCCATCATGGTAGACCAGACCCGTTTTACCTGCCTCATCCCCCCCCCCCCCCGCCGTCGCTGTCAAGAGGTTCTCGACCTAGCATATGCTGACACTGAGCTTGTGGGACTTTCTTTCTCGTTTCGGCTTTACCAAACCCAAACACGTGCCACAAATCGGCTCGGTCAACAAGCAATCAGTGAGATTGACCCTACAGGGGTCACCGTTTGGGACTTGACATCCATCATCCCCGCCCTGCGCCCGGTCTGCGCCCTTCTGGCGAAATCCCCCGGTGAGGGAGTCGAGGGAACCGCATGTGGCCGTCATGCAACGCGGAACATGCGATGCAATCGTGTAACATGTACAAGGCCAAACAGAACAAGTGCATCAGGCCCCAACAACAGTGATTCTTGATGTCTGCCTGCTTTCAAGAGAAGGTTAAGCTGACCCCCTTGGATGGACCCGCGCTACTGCAAACCAGCTCTTGCCCGCTCACGCCTCCGCTGCCGGAATGACTGCCTGTGCGCTTCTTGGGCCTGAGCAGGAGCTTTGGGTTGACTTCCATAGGAAAGATATAGAATGCGCAAGGATCATTTGTTGCAAAGGCCGGTTATTGGATTGGCCATGTGCGCAGCTGCAACAGAAGGGTCTAGTCTAAGCTTGCAATGAGTGCCTCTCATTGGAATCCGCCCACCCTCTCCCAGACTGCGGGAGGCGCACGGGAAGGATGGCAACAAGTCACGTTTGGGGATGCGAAAGAGCAACATATTTGGCCCAGACACAAGTGGTGCTTGAGCATTGCAGTGATCATTGCCCGACCTCCCAGCATCATGCATCACCTGTGTTTTAGTAAAGGGCTGTGCCGGTCATGCTAGCGATGCTGCTGCTCCTTTATTTACTGACGCTAGTGGTGATGCTGGTGATGCGAAAGGAATACGGATGGTGTTTGAGCATACATCATGAGTACAGAGACCAGCACCCGACATCCCCAGCATCACCTGAGGAAATGCGGCTCCCCTTGCTGAAAGTAGATGTTGCTTTGGTCTGTAGACGAAGAGTGGTCGACACCCCAGCGTCACCTGTGTTTTAGCAAATAAAGCGGTTTGTTTTCTTTCTTTCTGCAGTACCCCCAGCATCAGCAGTGTTTTGTAAAGAAAACGAGATTCTTTGCGCGGGATACGTATACATTAGATGAAATCAACATGTCTCTAGTGGTGATGCTGGGTGTGCGAAAGAATGGCACTTGTTGCATATACTAGTCATGCTTGGATGCGCCAACAGGAACGACATTTTGGCAGCATTTGGTTGCAGCTCGGTGTCAGGATGTCCCCAAAGGCCTGTTGGCATGGCTCTCTTTTGGGGACATCGCGAAATCCAAAGATCCTGACGTCAAAACGTTCGTCTAGTTATATATTTATATGCACATATTGTAGATTATAGATTGGCATGTTCAGTTGTGCTAATTTAGAAGCAGGTAATACTCGCATGGGGCCGAAGAAGCAACCTCTGGGTCATGGGATTCCAAGCTCGTAAGAACCTGCATCTTTTGTTTCTTGGTATGGCTAGCTTTTGGCGGCCTCTAAGAAATTTTCCCTTTGAGCAACGAGGATGCTGGGCTAACGGCTCTGAGGTGTTCGCAACCTGAAGGCGTCCCCCAAAAAACCAAGTCGCCCCTGCGCGCGGCCCGCTGGGCCGCAAAGCACCGCCATTCCAACAAATCAAAGCCCGGGAAGCTCTTCCCTAGAGGTCTTCTTTGGGGATCTGGGATCGGAACAATCCCGGGCTTCCCTTCGCACAAACACCGCGCCTTTGCAGCCGCAGGTCCTACAACCCGGGACCACAAATCGCAAAAGAAAACTGGCAGCCGTGCGCCACATGCAGCAAAATGCCAGTTGTTGGCAAGCAAAGCTGAGGACCTAAGATAAGGTCGTACCTTGACTCGACACGAACATGCGAAACAAAATTTGGACCCATCCGTATCCAAAGCAGGCTGCTGGAGGGCGGCAGCATTCTCGCAAAGAGTGGTGGCTCAAAGAAAGTCTTTGTGCCCTGTTTGATGTATGCCCATATCCAGTACGATAGGCTCTGAAAACTTCATCTCGACCCCATCTCATGCGACAGCTTCTGTCACAAAGCAATAGGGCCACTTGCTACTTGCTCCCTGCACAAGATTTCCTGATATAGAAAAAGAAGCTTCAAAAAGGATCTGGCGTAAACAAGTCCATGTGTAAAGATATGTTCAGCGAACATCGAGACACGCATTGATCGGTGTCAATCATCGAAAGGTACTTGCGCTCAGGACAGAAAACTGTGGCAAGGATTGAAACCGCTCGTATTTTCGTGGGAGCCGCAGCATAAGTTCACAAGTGAAGAAAGGTGACATTGCTCAAATGTGGCTGAAAAACCAAGTTGAGACATGTCTGTTTGTTGGCAAACTACAAAAGCACTCCAACGTGAGCCTCTGAACTGATCATGAGAGGACAGCCATCCCCTACCGGCATAGTCAAAGGCATAGCCGCTCTAAAGCTCCTCGGTGAACCCCAGGCAAGCTCGGAAAGGGTAAGCTTGTCCAACCCCTTGCCCCAGGCGCTCCACAAATGGAGTCATCCCGATGTCCCGTCCTGTCTGGTTGAGCTGCGCAGCCGGAATGGCTAGCCTCAAGAGGGAGCATCCCTTCGACGCAACTGTCCCAGCACAGCATAGGGATATGACATTGAGCCTCAGACAAAATTACTCGCTTCCCCTGAAAAGGAACGGGAAAGTTGGATGGCGCTGTTTTGGTGGGAAACTTGGGTGGGCTCCCATGTCCTCCCCTGAGCAACAACAAACAACCAGCAATTTGTGTGTGTGTGTGTCAGTTGCTCACATTGACATGTATCTTAGACAATCTTGGACAGACAAACAAGATTTGGTTCCATGCAACCACAGCAACAATAGTCCACCTGAAACCCTCTAAGTGTGCGCAGCAGGTTGCCCATGCCATGCTGAACAGCTGCCCCTGAGGGGGCGCAAATCACGCAAGGAATTGTGCGTATGGTAAAGCATGGCATGCGTGTGCCACATCTCAGTCATTGTTTGTGAAGATGTGAAGCTGATCCCTCATTATTACACGTCTTGCGTTTCAGACTCAGCAATAACAAGACCTGTGTCAATCGAAGCTTGGCGGGTTCATTGAATTCTCGGCGTGTTTTCGAGTTTATCCCCCAACAGCAAGCCCTGAGCTTCCTTTACGAGCCCCTGTTCAGAGTTCAAAAAGCAAATCCTCGGGATCCCAGCGAACGCTCCTGCGGTTGCGGCGTCTGCTGTGGCGTCGGCTGCGGCGGCGCCGGCGGCGGCAGCGCCGGCTGCGGCTGCTGTGGCTGTGGCTGCTGTGGCTGCTGTGGCTGCTGCGGCTGCTGCAGCTGCTGCGGCTGCTGCGGCTGCTGCGGCTGCTGCGGCTGCTGCGGCTGCTGCGGCTGCGGCTGCTCCCACTGCTGCAAAGGCTGCTGCAGCCGTGCTGAGGGTGGAGGTGTAGACCTGCCCGTCAAATCAAGGGTATTCCCAATTGAAGTGGAGCTGGTTGAAATGGGTCCCAGCAATAGGATGACATACAGTCAATGTATTCATCAAGCAAGCAAGCAAGCAAGCAAGCAAGCAAGCAAGCGAGCGAGCGAGCGAGCCAGCAAGCAAGCAAGCAAGCAAGCAAGCAAGCAAGCAAGCAAGCAAGCAAGCAAGCAAGCAAGCAACAAACATGATTACTGGCAACATTCGAAATCTGCAATCAGGTGCTGCTGTGCCAACTTCCAGAGAAGCCTCAGAACTTCCCTGATCGGACGTCGCAGGTGCGCATCGCAGAAGCCTTAAACATGCTAGCATGAACGGTAGCTGGAAGTGAGGCCAGCCTCCCCTGCTCCGATTGGTTGCTCATGAGCTTCTCAGAAAACAAAGCATACAAGTAGCCTGTTGCACTGCATCAACATCTCAGGATCTGCATTTTCGCCAATGAGCACGCCTCGTCTGCAGCGGGTTGGCTGGTGGATTCGAAGACATGGAGGAGGCCTCAACTGGAACAAGATTTCGGACATAAGACTTGAAGCCCATGTAGCGCTTGGCTTGCAGGGTGGCTGCCCACCAAGGCCAAGGCATACAATGCAATGCAGGGCAGAATGCAACAACTTCATGGAAAGCATTCATTCCAATCCTTTATCCTGTCGGATATATCTCACTTGACAAGGATGCATAGCACATCCTTGCCAACACTCTGCCTTCGCGTGGGCTCCTCTGTGTGCGTGCCTGTGTATGTGTGTGGGGGGCTGTGCCTCCCTGCAGTCCATACTCATCTGTGTGGCCACACTGGCTTAGCTGAGCAGGGCACTTCTCTTGTCGGACAACATAATATCAGTTGCCGTCATGCAAAACCGTGAAACTGCATCACTAGCCACACGTGACAGAATGCTGCACTGGGTGTCTCAAGGACAAACAGGACACAATTCAACCATGCTGCAAAACCTTCCCTTTCACACGCTTCCATGCAAAAGGCGCGAAAGCTGCTCAGGACAGATATCACAACCCAAAAAAGCCTGTAAAGGTTTGTTTATCCCGTTTGTTCCCGAACCTCAGCCGCTGGCCATCACTGTTACCTCGGGATCGTCAGCTTCCGGCCTGCGATGCAGCAGGCACAAGCACCACAAAGCTGCTAGCGTGTCCTTCCACACGACAACAGACAACAGCGTGGCGTAATGAGGTGCGCCAAACGTCAAATGTCAGGAACCAACACGTTCGGTCAAGGGGGAGGCTGGCCGTGCTTCGTATGAAGGATCAAGCTCAACCCATGACGCGTACGCCCGGCGAGCAACAGCCCAATCCAGGCAATCCCTATCTAGCTTCTCCCACGCCCTCATCCTGCAGCGTATCATGGAGAGCGTTTAGACTTATAGTGGCAACAAACAACATGTTTTGTCTACACTCTTCACTAGCTGCCTTTGTGCCCCTCCGCAAAGATCGCACTGCGGACAAGCGTGCGATCCGAAGCTTGCTTCAGGGGGTAGAGATGCAGCAACATACTAGAGACACTTTTATGCACATGTGTGCAAATCGTGTTCGCTTTACCTGCATTTCACCCGAGTTGCTTGTTGGCAAATCTGCTTTACGCTTCATTTCGGGGTAGCATAGGCAACATGGGCTGACATCGCGCTATAGCCCTTACGCCGCCGTTGCGCAAGTTTGCGGCGCGTGCCAAAGACGTAGTTGTCCATGCGCATCGAGGTTTGGGAAGCCATGCCGGCCTCGTCATCCAAGGCGGTATGACCTCTTCTTGAAAGGAAACAGAATCATGGCCTGCTTGAAAACGGAAAGCTTTCCAAAGGTAAGTCGCCATCCTTGCTGCCCTATGACCCGTGTTGTTCACTGAGGACTACCATCCCCTCTAGCCAACGACAATGTCACCTAAAGCGTCCCACTCCCGCGATTTTGTGTCGCTGGATTCGGGAAAAATGGCGGGCGGCCTGCGATCCACCTCTGGCGGCCTGGCAAACAAGAGTCGGTGTTTGAAGCATCAAAAGATTGGTGCACGGACTACAGTCTACCACAATGGAGCTCGTCAGTCAGAAAACTCTTCAAGCAGAAAATAGCAACCATTGAACCAGTGCTCCTTTCACAGAAACGCCATGCCTCCGCTCGGTCTCAGGCTGGCTAGACCTGGGTTGCTGGGCCAAAGCACTCAACAACCCATACAAGTCTCTCCGCTGCGTAACTTCATGCTCGTTTTACTGTGAGCCTCAAGACATGGCGCCTATCGGGCGGAGCCGAAAAACCTCAACCTTCCGGGATAAACTTTCGGAGGGAAGCTCCCTTGCATGTGAGAACGTTTCATCCGTTGTGGTGTTTGACCCCAACTCCAAAGGCGCCTCGGCGGAACAGCGTCTAGCACCGTCTTGCGGAGGCTGTGGTTCTCTCGGCGCAAGCCTCAGCGGACTGAACCTCCCACCTTGGGTTCCATTACGCGCAGCGAGCGCGTGGGCAATAATAACAATTCCTTCAAGGAACATGTTGCTCTTCTCGACGCAGTGTCCAGCTGTCTGCAGGCATTTGGACTTGTTCGTTTTGCAAATCTGGCTGAACGGATTCTAAAGGGTCAATGCCAAACACACTTGCACAAAGGACCCAGAACGAAGTTAAACTTTGCGGGCCATGACTAAAGTTGGATCAAAAGGAGAAAACCAAAAGGTCACAAGGTCGGCTTTGAGCATCTGAGCAAGGAAGACTGCAAGCGTGTCGAGGGCCCAGCTCTCGACATCTGCCTCCAGGCCCTTCAGAACTGAGGCGAGCTGCTTCACCAGTTTCCTGGCTGCGTGCGTTTGCGGGACCGAGATGGTGGGAAACATCGACGGAGTTGTGACTGGGTTGGGTGCTTGGTTTTGCCTACACAGACAGGGCACACGCTCCAGCTTCCTCGAATCGAAGGGGGCGTGGTGATGAGCTCAATAGCGGCTCTAAACGGTGGGCCCAATCACCCCCCTCCCCCGCCCCCCGAAACCAAGTCGCTGGCTCAAAATCCATGTTCCAGCTGCCCTGAAGCGAGACGAGCCCCCGCCGCAAGGTCCTGCAGCTTCCTGACTCAGTCCCAATCCAGCCCGGCCAGCTCCAGCCCTACCACCCCCCCCACCCAGCCCAGCTCACCACACAGCTGAGGCTCCCCTTGCCAAACCCCAGCAGCTCCAAGCAAGCTGTCAGCTGCACGCACCTACCCAGCTCTTGAGCCTGTCATGCCCAGTTCGGCTCATTCCAGCCATGCAGTCACTTTGCGCTGCATCAGACTGCTCAGCCCAGCCCCGGGATCTTTTGCTCAAGCTCATACTTCTCTCGTGTTCTTTTGAGCCTGGCAGCGCGATCTTGGTCATGGAATGTTTTTGCGTGGCCGTTCGCACGGCGATTTGTGACCGATACTCAGCAACGGAGAAGCCGCAAACAAATCGATTTGAGGCATGGCAGGCGAGGTCAGCTCGCGAAGCACTTGCGAGGTGAAAATCCGCCGACCCCTTCTCCTGAAAGGGGGAGGCGCACGGGAAGGGTGGTTACAGCACAAGTCCAAGGTGGGTTGGTAAATGAGCATATCCGAAGATTCAACATTATCAGCGTAAGCAATACCGTCATCGTAGCATCCTTTGCACCTCAAAGATGTGTCTTTCTACACCTTTCAAGTGTGGGGTTAGAAAGCATTGGTGATGCAGAGGATGCTACGATGATAGTTATTTTCCGAGCTACTATTATCGTTGTCATCCTTATCTTTCTCCTATCTGATCAGATCTGTGTCATATACGTTTCAAGCGTGCTGTTAGACGCGGTTGGAGATGCAGAGGATGCGTAGTGATGACGATGATGATGACGATGATGACGACGATGATGATGACGATGATGATGATGATGACGATAATGACCACCATCATGGTGATGATGACATGGTCATCATCATCACATTATAATCGTTGTGACCTGATTGGAGATGCAGAGGATGCGTAGTCATCATTATCATCATGACTGTTGGTGATGCAGAGGATGCACGATGATGGTTATCATCGATGATGATGACCGTGATGATGACGATGATGAGCGACGGCTCTTTATGTTTTTCATATACGATTCAAAAGTCCCGTTAGACCCGATTGGAGATGCAGAGGGTGCGTAGTCATCATTATCATGATGACTGTTGGTGATGCAGAGGATGCACGATGATGGTTATCATCGGTGATGATAACGGTGATGATGAGATTGGACACCTCTGCATCTCCAATCGGGTCTAACGGGACTTTTGAATCGTATATAAAAAACATAAAGATAAGGATCCTCATCATAGCCGTCGCTCGTCATCATCATCATCATCATCGTGCATCATGCATCAGTCATGATGATAATGATGACTACGCGTGCATCCTCTGCATCACCAACAGTCATGATGATAATGATGACTACGCACCCTCTGCATCTCCAATCTAATACCGTTATCAATCCGTCGATGATTAACCTTCATCGTGCCCCCCCCCCCCCTGCATCTATCCGATGATAACCATCATCGTGCATCCTCTGCATCACCAACAGTCATCATGATAATGATGACTACGCACCCTCTGCATCTCCAATCGGGTCTAACGGGACTTTTGAATCGTTTATGAAAAACATAAAGATAAGGATCCTCATCATAGCCGTCGCTCATCATCGTCATCATCACGGTCATCATCATCGATGATAACCATCATCGTGCATCCTCTGCATCACCAACAGTCATGATGATAATGATGACTACGCGTGCATCCTCTGCATCACCAACAGTCATCATGATAATGATGACTACGCACCCTTTGCATCTCCAATCTCATCATCACCGTTATCATCACCGATGATAACCATCATCGTGCATCCTCTGCATCACCAACAGTCATCATGATAATGATGACTACGCACCCTCTGCATCTCCAATCGGGTCTAGATCTAACGGGACTTTTGAATCGTATATGAAAAACATAAAGAGCCGTCGCTCATCATCGTCATCATCACGGTCATCATCATCGATGATAACCATCATCGTGCATCCTCTGCATCACCAACAGTCATGATGATAATGATGACTACGCGTGCATCCTCTGCATCACCAACAGTCATGATGATAATGATGACTACGCACCCTCTGCATCTCCAATCTCATCATCACCGTTATCATCATCGATGATAACCATCATCGTGCATCCTCATCGATGATAACCATCATCGTGCATCCTCTGCATCACCAACAGTCATCATGATAATGATGACTACGCACCCTCTGCATCTCCAATCGGGTCTAACGGGACTTTTGAATCGTATATGAAAAAGATAAAGATAAGGATCCTCATCATAGCCGTCGCTCATCATCGTCATCATCACGGTCATCATCATCGATGATATCCATCATCGTGCATCCTCTGCATCGTTATCATCACCGATGATAACCATCATCGTGCATCATCTGCATCACCAACAGTCATCATGATAA